AGAAAATTTAGCCGGGCCCGGTGGCTCACGCCTATAATCCCAGCATTTTGGGAGGCCGAGGCGGGTGGGTCACAAGGTCAACAGATCGAGACCCATTTCTACTAAAAAAAAATACAAAAAATAGCTGGGCAAGGTGGTGCACACCTGTACTCCCAGCTACTCGGGAGGCTGAGGCAGGACAATTGCTTGAACCCAGGAGGTGGAGGCTGCGGTGAGCCGAGATCACACCATTGCACTCCAGCCTGGGTAACAAGAGCGAAACTCCGTCTCAAAAAAAAAAGAAAGAAAATTTTAAGCCTCTGTTTTTTGTTTGTTTGCGGTTTTGTTTTTTTGTTTTTTGAGATGGAGTTTTCCTCTTGTTGACCAGGCTGGAGTGCAGCGGCACGATCTCAGCTCACGGCAGCCTCCGCCTCCCAGATTCAAGCGATTCTCCTGCCTCAGCCTCACCACTAGCTGGGATTACTGGCGTCCACCATCACGCCTGGCTAATTTTCTGTTTTTTAGTAGAGATGGGGTTTCGCCATGTTGGCCAGGCTAGTCTTGAACTCCTGACCTCAAGTGATCCACCCGCCTGGGTCTCCCAGAATGCGGGGATTACAGGCATGAGCCACTGTGCCCGGCCAGCCTCTGATGATTTAATGTGTCTGCCCTTGGAGGGAAGGAAAATGATGAAAAGTGACTTTCAGACAGGAGATGATTCATTGGTTGGTTGGTTGTTTTCAGACCGAGTCCCACTCTGTCACCCATGCTGGAGTGCAACGGCACGATCTTGGCTGACTGCAACCTCCACCTCCCAGGTTCAAGCGATTCTCCTGCCTCAGCCTCCTGCTGAGTAGCTAGGATTACAGGCATGCACCACCGCACCCAGCTAAATTTCTATTTTTTAGTAGAGACGGGGTTTCTCCATGTTGGTCAGGCTGGTCTTGAACTCCCAACCTCAGGCGATCCGCCCACCTCAGCCTCCCAAAGTGCTAGCATGACAGACGTGAGCCATCTCACCACACCAGCCTCTGATGTTTCAATGTGTCTGCCCTTGACAGGGTAAAATGATAAAAAGGTGTTTTTGGACTTGGGATTGTTTTAGTGAAACCTAACGTTTAAAACAGCAAAGCACACTTTGGGAGGCGGGTGGATCACGAGGTCAGGAGTTTGAGACCAGCCTGAGCAACATGGTGAAACCCCGTCTCTACTAAAAATACAAAAATTTAGCCGGGCGTGGTGGCAGGCACCTGGAATCCCAGCTATTCGGGAGGCTGAGGCAGGAAAATTGCTTGAACCCGGGAGGCAGAGGTTGCAGTGAGCCGAGATCACGCCACTGTACTCCAGCCTGGGCGACGGAGTGAGACTCCATCTCAAAAATAAATAAATAAGGGCAAAGTAATAAGCTCGGGGTGGGGGGTACTTTTCCTCCGTTCCTGGTCACCTGTCATAAGCAGTGTCACAATGCCTCTCATAAGGGGCGTCTGATGAAGCCGGGTTCCATCAGCCGACCCACGGCGCTTCCATCCACGTCCTGGCAGGTGGAGGCTCTTCCCAAATGGGTCGCCGGTTGCCGTGGCAACAAGAGGGTTCCCTGATGGAGCCGGGTTGCCCAGATCTCACATCTACGTGCAAGGAGCATGCAAGCCCAGGCAGGCTGCAGGTCTGAGCCTGAGCCACATTAGGGATCGTCACCGTGGTTACAATATCTTTAGGGGGTGAGTAATGTACACACACACAGAGAGGGATGGTCATTGACATCCAGTGGGGCTACAGCCCCATAACGCCAACATGGCACAAAACATCCTAACTTAAAATGCTTTCCCTAGCCGGGTGCGGGGACTCACGCCTGTCATCCCAGCACTTTGGGAGGCTGAGGCGGGCGGATCACTTGAGGTCAAGAGTTCGAGACCAGCCTGACCAGCATAGAGAAACCTCATCTCTACTACAAATACAAAATTACACCATGGCACATGGATACCTATGTCACAAACCTGCACGTTCAGCACAGGTATCCCACAATGTAAAGCAAAATGAAATAAAATAATACAATATCAGGTTACTATCTTGATAAACTCATCTTAAAGTTGAAAATTTGTAAATCCAACCATCATAACCTGGAAACCACCTGTATCTATGTATGTATACACACGCTTTCATTATTAAAATATTTCAGTTGGCCGAGCACTATAGCTCCCGCCTGTAATCCCAACACGTTGGGAAGCTGAGGCAGGTGGATTACCTGAGGCTGGGAGTTTGAGACCAGCCTGACCAACATAGAGAAACCCCGGCAAAAATACAAAATCAGCCAGGCGTGGTGGTGCACGTCTGTAGTCCCAGCTACTCAGGAGGCTGACACAGGAGAATCACTTGAACCCAGGAGGTGGAGGTTGCAGTGAGCTGAGATCGGGCCATTGCACTGCAGCCTAGGCTACAAGAGCGAAACTCCATCAAAAAAAAAAAAAAAAAGCATTTACTATCTTGATAATCTGATCATAAAGTTGAAAAGTTGTACATCAAACCATCGGAAGTTGGAAACCATCTGTATCTATGTATGTATACACACTTTCATTACTAAAATATTGCAGTTGGCTGGGTGTGGTGGCTCACGCCTGTAATCCTAGCACTTTGGGAGGCCGAGGTGGGCAGATCATCTGAGGTCGGGAGTTCAAGTCCAGCCTGACCTACATGGTGAAACACTGTTTACACTAAAAATACAAAAAAATATATATAGCTAGGCATGATGGCGGGTGCCTGTAGTCCCAGCTATTAGGGACACTGAGGAAAGAGAATTGCTTGAACCCGAGGCAGAGGTTACAGTGACCCGAGATGACACCACTGCACTCCAGCCAGGTGACAGAGCAAAACTCCATCTAATAAAAAATTATGTATACATAATACATATTTCATAATTTATATATTTATGTTATATATAATATATATTTACACATTTTATACATGAATATATGTATATACATGTATAACATAAAAAACACGTCATACGTGTTATATGTAACGCATAACATATACACATCATACATCTTATGTCACATATGACGCACACTTGTCATATATACTATATGTCACATATACATGTCTTGTTATATGTCGCATAGGACATGCATATTTATGTCATATGTAACATATAACATGTATGGCATGTATGCATGTGCAATGTATAACGTGTGTTATGTGTAACATATATGTATGACATTTATGTGCAATGTGTGACATAAGATGTATGTTATATGTAACAATACATGCTTGACATGTGTCTAACAGCATGTGTGGCATGTATGGCGTGTGCATGACATATGACATGTATGACATGTAGACGTGACATACATGTAACATGTATGTCGCGTGTAACAGCATGTGTGACATGTATGTGTAACGTGACGTGTGGCAAGCCTGTTATATGTAGTCATATGCAGCATGTAGCATGTATCGCATGTATATTTGACATGTAACATGTGTGGCATGTATGTTATGTGTGACACAACGTATAACGTGTATGTGTTGTGCTGGCATGACATGTATGTCACATGTAATACGCACACATGTCATGCATGTTTGTTACATATAGATGCATTTCATGCATGCTGTGTTGCATGTGACATGTGCATGTCCTGCATGTTATGTGACACATACATACCATATGTTATGTGCCACAAATAACACGTCTTACACTTACATATACATGCCACACATGTTATACATGTTATATGTTATGTGTCACATATAACATGTCATACATACCACACACGCTATATGTTACATATACACGTCTTGTCACTTTTGAAATGGCATCACTACACTGGGTCTGGTGGCTCATGCCTGTAATCCCAGCACTTTGGGAGGCCAAGGCAAGCAGATCACAAGGTCAGGAGATGGAGACCATCCTGGCCAACGCTGTGAAACCCCGTCTCTACCAAAAATACAAAAAAATGGCCGGGCATTGTGGCATACACCTGTAGTCCCAGCTGCTCAGGAGGCTGAGGCAGGAGAATTGCTTGAGCCCGGGAGGCAGAGGTTGCAGTGAGCCGAAATCATGCCACTGCAGTGCAGCCTGGGCAACAGAGCGAGACTCCGTGTGAAAAAAAGAAAAAAGAAATGGCATCACTAATAAGTCACAGAGCTGCACAAGGCAGCCTGAAAGGAGAGCCTTACACTTCACAGATACCCACCGTTACTACATCCAACACTGGTGCCAAAGCTCCGTGGTTCAGGCTGAAGCTTCTTGGCTTTTTTGTTTTTGAGATGGAGTTTCGCTCTTGCTGCCCGGGCTGGAGTGCAATGGCATGATCTTGGCTCACTGAAACCACCGCCTCCCAGGTTCAAATGATTCTTCTCCTGCCTCAGCCTCCTGAGTAGCTGGGACTACAGGCAGGTGCCACCAAGCCCAGCGAATTTTTGTATTTTTAGTAGACCGGCTCAGGTTGGTCTCGAACTCCTGACCTTGTGTTCCACCTGCCTTGGCCTCCCAGAGTGCTGGAATTACAGGCATGAGTCACCCTGCCCAGCTTCAGTGTGAGGCTTCTAACGGACATCCATCAAGGCGAACACAGGAGTCCCTCCTTAAAGCAAGAAGACCAAAACTTTGCCTCCAGTCAATGCCAGTGCCGAACTCACACCCCACCCCCATCAGCGTGGTCCTGACTGAAGCCCAAGAAGTAATCTACAAAGGAGAAGCAGTCACACCCTGTCCATATAAACCTCCTGTCACTCGTCATGTCCATACCAAGAACAAGAAGGCAGTGGAGACACATCTCTTTATTATCATGGCTTGTACACTTCGACGGTTTCCAAGACCAGCTCGGCGGTGGAGACTCCAACCCAGGCGGCACTGAAGGAATTAAACACACACAAAGATACAGAGCAAAAGTGGGCATCAGAGTGGGACGTCAGGGGACTCACAGCATCCAGAGCAGACTCTGACCCATGTACTTATTCTTGGTGAACAAGGAATCATTTTTAACAAACAGGGGCTCAGTGTCTCTTCACAGAACAACGATAGACTCAATAGGCAGGTAGCACCTGTTCACTAGTAAAATAGAAATAAGCTAGAAAGCACTCTTCGCCAGTCAGCAAAGGGGACAAGATCATGTATCCTGTGTTTTGGGAGTTAGTGTAACGAGGGCATGACTGGTACATACAGTTCACCATCCGAGAACGCCCTGAGCAGTCTTCTGCCTGGGGACACGCAGCGTTCCTTGCCATCATTTCTCAGTAAACAACGTACAATCCATCGCACACACGTCAAGGCCTTCTCCCAGCAGATGGTCGTTCCAGATCACAAGGAAAGTTATTTCCTGGCTAAAATGGCATCGTAAATGGCCCCCGTTTTCTTAAACTGGAAGTCTCTGAAGCCAGCAGAAGAGAGGAGCGCATGGAAGTGGCTGGGGGTCCTCTCCTGGCCTTCCGTCTGCACAAGCATGTTGAGAGAGTAGAGCTGCGTGAGCAGAGGACCTCGCCTGTCTTCATCCAGGAGGCTTTCAATGACTAGAATGCCACCACCTAGAAAGGGAGGGGCACAGTTCGCATCACACACAAACACATGGCAAGCTGTGTGTGATGGGGACAGTGCCCCAGGGACTTCTGAGGTCCACCCACATTGACGGTCCATGAGGACATGGCACAGCCTCTGTGTGTGTGATGGGGACAGAGGACGTGGGCACTGCCTCTGTGTGTGTGTGAAGGGGAC